CAGGGTCTCACTACAAAGATCAGACTTGTAGTGATCCTCCTGTTTTTAGCCTCCCAAGCGCTGGGATCATAGTTGTGTGCCACTGCGCCCAGACTGTTACTGTCTACTGTCTCAGTGCACTCCGAGGGCGGGGCCTGCATGGCACACTGGGGATTGAACCTGGGCCCTGTGCCTGCCTAAGCAGTCATTTATTTTCATGTACAACTCTGTCTGACCATTTTCTAAAATTACTAAATATTAAGAATCAAAACCAAAAAAGCTTGACTGCATTATATATATATGTATATATATATATTTTTTTTTTCCCCCTTTTTCAGTGCCAGGGGTTGAACCCAGGGCCTCACACATTAGGCAATTGCTCTACCACTGAGCTGCATTTCCAGCCCTTTGCTTTTTGAGTCAAGGTTTAAGCTGTCCAGGCTGGCCTTGAATTGAGATCCATTCAATTCAGCTGCCAGAGTAGATGAGCTTTCAGGCTAAGGGAGCTTTACCCAAATGTACTGAAGGGCGCCTCTCTGCCTGCAGCCTGCAGCCTGCAGCTCCGAGCCTCCCTCATTCCCCAGGCGGGCTGCACTGCGCAGAGCAGGACGCACTATGGGGAGGACCGGGGGGCTCGCTGTGTTTCCCCTTTCTGGGCTCCAGCCTGTCTGATTGCCTGCTCCTGCCTGGCTGGTGGAGAGATCCAGCAGCAGCACACAGGACACACAATTTTTTTTTTTTTTTTCAACTACAGGGGGTAGCACAGAGCTAAAAATAAGTTTAAGAAGTGTATCCATTTGTACCGTAATCTGTCACATGCATTAGGTGTAGAATTTTCCACTGTGATGTTAACGCTTAGAAGTTTTGGACTTTGGAGCATTTCAAAATTTTAGATCAGGGATGCTGAACCTGTAGCTTTACAATATGCAGGAGAACTATTAGGAAGGTTTAGGAGCCCAGGGGAGCGCACAGTGGCCATCCCTGCCCAGAGAGCCACAGCAGCCAGCAGCTCCGAGGCCCAGATGGCGCTGCAGAACCGGAGGGGTTGAGGACACACCTCCAGTCTGGGTGAAGACCTGGAAGTCCACCTCTGCTGAGGGCTGGAAAAATCAGAGCCCAGGGCCCAAAGGTCACGAATACTGGGTTTTCTGAAACCTGCCATACCCTGTAGTTCTGCACCCATGGTGGTTGTCTGTAGGCACTGGTGAGCCAATTTTTTTGGTTTTGTTTTATATTTTAGGAAAGGGTCTACATGGTGTCCAGGGTCTCACTACTAGATCGGACTCGTAGTGATCCGCTTGTTTACAGCTCCCAAGAGCTGGGATTACAGGCATGCGATGCGCCACCATGTCCAGTCTCAATTGCATCTCAGCATGCCCCTGGGGCGGGGCTGGCACGGCAGGCCCGGGGATTGACCCTGGACACCTGCCCGCGGAGCTATTTGGCCAACCCTGAACCAACTGTTTCGACTTTTTTTTTTTTTTTGCGGAACCAGGGATTGAACTCAGGCCCTTGTGCTTGCCAGGGAAGCGCTTATTCCACTGAGCCATCTCCCTGGCCCCTCGACTTAACTTTTTATTTGGTACTGGGAATCAAACTTAGGACCTTGCGCTTGCCAGGTGGGTGCTTATGCAGCTGAGCTATATCCCTGGCCCCCTTGACTAAATTTCTGAAAAGCTGGTTGACTGATTTGCCTTGACCAAATTGATTTTGTATTAACTGTCAACTCAAGAGGGACAGTTTTTTATTTTTTTCTCAAAAACACCCAGTACCTTTACTTAGCTTTACCCACTTATCAACTGCTCAACACGAACCATTTGACTCCCAAGCCTAGGTCTGGCCTGAGTCTTTCTCGTGAGCAACAGTATTAGACTGAGGAGCTTTTGTGGAGGGAGAGCTCTCCTGCCCACAGGGGGCTGTGACCACAGAAGTCTAAGAAAGAGGAGGATCTAAGGAATCCTGGTGTGGAAGGCCTAAAGGTCCAGGCTTGGCACCACGCTGTCCAAAAAGGCCCTAGTCTTATGGCTCTGTGGATGGTGGCCATTTGTTCTTGGCAAGTTTTTTCTTTCAAAGCTCAATATCATTCAATTATTTTGTTTTAATGTACACCTCCATAAAGTTGTAATATTGCTAAATAGTCAAGAAAATTTATTTGGAAAATATGGTAAAATTCAGCATTTAGATAGGCACAACACTGTTGACATATAATACTGTACGTGTATCAAGTCAGTTACACCATTATGGTTTTCCAGTTAAAGCTCAGTACTTACCTTTGGGAAGCATTTTTTCCTGTCATTTACTTTTCATACGATATGTAATCCAACCAATACATGGGAAATTGTTTCAGTTAATAACAACTTATTACCCTATTTAATTGCAGGGAAATATACTTTTTCCTACCCATTTTTGTGTCAGAATTTCATCCCTTATGGTTATCTAATACCCGAAGAGACAGCATATCCTAGTCTCTAGGGTCAAAAGTTATTTTCCCAATTGTAGTATTAGATTTGAAACATTAAGTTATTCCACTGACATTTGCCTCTCTCTCTCTCTCTCTCTCAGACTCATTAATTGCCTGCCTGGCAAGTGTGAGGCCCTGAGTTCCAGCCTGGGTACCAAAAAAAAAAAAATTTCAGTTTACTCAGAACATGTTATTTCATTTCTTTTTCCCCCAAACTCTTGTGGATCCTCCTGCTTTGGTGCTTTGGCCACCCAAGTGCTGGGATTACAGGTGTGCGCCACCACGCTTGGCCAGCCTGGCCATCTCTAATTAATTTAATCAGTCACACATATACAGGTAACCTACACATCTCATACCGTCCCCTATATCTACAACTGAGAATAGGGGCACTTTCAGTGCAGAAGGGAACTTCTATTCATCCTGTGTTTTTACTGCAGCTTAACACTTATCTTCACTGTGTACTTCCTTCTCTTCCCTGGAGATAAGTAGTCTTTAGGTTGATTTTTTTTTTGTATTTTATGGAAGAGTCTACAGGGCGTTCAAGGTCTCACTACTAGATTTGACACATAGTGATCCGCCTGTTTACAGCCTCTCCACAGCTGGGATTACAGGGGCGCACCATGACACCCAGTCTCAATTGCTGTCACAGAGCACCCTGGGGCGAGGCCAGTATGGCAGGCCTGGGGATTGAACCCTGGGCCCTGTGCCTGCTTGCAGGGGTTTTAATCTGCTGAGCTATTTGGCCAGCCCTCGCTTTTTGATTTTTCTTTTTTGGCAGAACCAGGGATTGAACTCAGGCCCTTGTGAGCTTTTTGATTTTTAATGCTTGGTGCTTTCTTGGTAGTTTGTATAATGCATACTCTCAAGAATATTAAAATTATGCCAGCCTGCTGTGGCAGCACACACCTATAATGCCAGCACTCAGGAAGCCAAGGCAGGAAGATGGCTGCAAATTCTAGGTCAACTTTGTGCTACACAATTTGAAGGCTTGGGCTGGGAAGATGGCTCAGTGGAATAAGCGCTTACCTGGCAAGTGCAAGGGCCTGAGTTCAATCCCGGATTACGCCAAAAAAACCCCAAAAAACCAAAACCAACAACAAAAATAAATTTGAAGCCTAGCCTGAATTACATGGCAAGATCCCACCTCAAAAAACAAAACCAAACCCAACCCCAAAAGCAGAATACATTATACTTGAAACTTTCCAATCTATCTCAGGAGAGGACACTGTGGGGCTTGAACATGTCAGCAATGCCCTTTTACCTTTTAGTAATGGGCAATGGCAAAGTCCTGTATTTGAGAGTCCACCATGAGTGGTTGAGTCTGACCAATATATTTCACTTTGTCAGTTCTTGTGCAAAATTCTCATTTGAATGTTTATTTTTTGAAATATGCAAATTGTTGGGTTTGATTAAAAATAGCAAAGTATGTTCATAAATTGCCTAGTTTTAAATGAATAAAATGTCTGAATTTGTTTTCCAATTTTATTTTTGGTTCTTTTCTTACCTTAAGATGAAGCCACACTTTTTTATGAATGCATTATAATCAATTGTATATTTGCCTATTATACATGTTTCAACATTTTAACTGTTGAAAAGCAAAGCTTCTACTTCCTCAAAACATAATAAATCATGGTTAAGTTTAAACACAATAGCTAATTATTGCTTCTTAAATACAAGTGTCCACTGGTAACAAAATCCATTCACAAGCCACGTGCTTAATCTGCATTAGTTTTGGTACATCTACTAATTTGCTCAGTGAACTTAGCTATAAACTGGAATTTCCCAAAAATGCTTGGTTTTGTTTCAGGATTCACTGGCACGAAGATCCTACTTGAACTCTGGTTCACATTTTTCTGACATGTCACAGCTGACAAATTGAAAAATGGTGGTCAGACTCATAACCATTCATGGTGTATTCTCAGCTTTTGAGCAAAATGCAAAATAAAAGACTTCACTTCAAGCATAAAACCTTAATGATCCTTAAGGAAGCATTCCCAAGACACACGCGGATGGGATGTTTCCTGAACATATATGAGAGTGCACACAATACGTAATGCTCACTCTCACAAGGGAGGCAAGGACAGGCTCGTGCAATGCAGCGATGAGCAAGGAACTCTTATGCATTTACCAGCAATTTGAGGCAGACATGAGAGACAACTAGGAGAATGATGCTGACTGAGAAACATTCCAGTGTTCACAGGCCAGTCAGAATACAGTTCTATATATTACAAACAACTATGCAGTGATATTTCCATTTATTTCAGTTTCAATAATAAAGTTTTTCTCTTACATGATTGAACACCTATTTTTCATTAAAATTAACAGTCACAATTGAAGAGACAGCGGCTTATCTTTCTGATGAAGGGATCAAGCTGCTAAATCTTAAGGCCTCAACAAACATCATTTCAACAAGACCTTTTATTTTGATTATTCCTGGTGAGCAGCAACTGTGTTTCTCCAGTGGTTTCCATCTGCCAACTGGTCACGACAGTTGTTCTGACACGGTGCCCACTGCTTCCAGACATTCCACCAGATGCAGCCTCTTCCCAGAGCAACACCTACGGCAGCCTCCACTCAGGTCCACCCATTGGGACTTCTCTATCGAGGCTGGCCAAGAAGTCCTGCTTTAGCTGCCAAGGCTTCGTTCTGCTGAATATGGTATTCTTGAAACCTCATGGATATTCTTTGTGTCATTTTTAAATATTTCTGTAAGCAGTGTTCTGAACAGGTGATCTAGAAATAAAAGAGAAGATCCAAGAGGCAACACAAAAATATCAACTTTTAAAAATTAATGTATTCTCAAAGAACAAACAGTAGGCACTTTACTATTGACTACCTCTGCAAGCTACTAACATTAATGGGTAACAAGTGACCACAAGCTATATACCAGCAATATGCCAAAGGCCTACTATCTGCAGGCTTTAGAAAGCTTGTGAACTGGAGTTTCTACACAAACTCAAAGCCCACAATCCTATCCCCTACTTAAACTATCAAAATGTACACCTAGTAGCAGGTAGATTCCTTTTTAATGAGAAGCTACTTTTTAACATGAGTATTATATGAAGTACTTAACAGGCACTTAGCAGCTACTCGCTATATGCTAAGTGTTCAGCATGAATGTTTACCAGCTTCTTCCACAGGAGAACATTTATGGCATTTGCGGAAGATGCATAAATGTTCTGATGAGTTGCTACGAAACAGTAACTCACAGGTATCTTTTCCAGAAAAATCTGGCTTGGGTGAATGTGACTGTCACAATGAATTTGGCATCATTAAATCCAATGCTATAAGTCCTCTGCTGATTTGTTTGCTCCAACCAATGACACACAAAAGGAAGCCCAAATTTCTGCAGTAAGTATGAAGAAGTAAAATGCTAGGGGAACCTATGCTTTATGATAGGCTTGGAGAATTTTTAGTGAGAAACACTTTTCATACCTCTTCAGGTTTTACTTCTCTTGTTGTGAAGTCTTTAACACAGTCCAAAAAGCAGGTTTCTGTAAGTTTATTGTAGGTTCCCAGGAATTCCCTAAACTAAATAAACAAAGCAAAGTTATTTAATATCCAGTTTTGATGATGGATACTTTTTAGTGATTCTTCACATTTATGTTGACTTGAAACCAGAATCTTTTGCTAACTTGAATAGGTAAAATATGATCTACAAAACTGTATTACTTTCTGCTTCTTCCATTTTTTTTTGTGATACTAGGGATCAAACTCAGGACCTTGCACGTGACAGGCAAGCTCTTATTTCACTGAGCTATCTCCCTGGCTCCTCTTCCCCCATTATTAGTTTAAAAAAAAAAAAAAAAAAATCAAAACACGAAAACAAAAAATATCCTTCATATCACTTAATATCCATTTTTGGAAGTAAAACAAACATTTTGTGAGATCACTGACTAACAAGAATGTTTCCAGCAGGATCTTATACTTTTTTTTGTAAAATTCTTCTCTCTCTTTTTTTTCTTTTGGCAGAACCGGGGATTGAACTCAGGTCCTTGCACTTGCCAGGGAAGCGCTTATTCCACAGAGCCATCTCCCCGGCCCCCTTCTCTTTTAATTATAATACCTTACCTGTTTTATCTGATCAGATTCTGATATCTGTGCAGCCATATTCTTTTGGTATATTTATGAGTCACCTGAATAAAAAGTTAAAAAAAGTCAATATAAACAAATTTTTAGGCTAGCTGGATAATAAATCACTGACCATATTTTATACATTTTTTTTTTTTTAAGGAATCTGGGATTGAACTCAGGCCCTTGTGCCTGCCAGGGAAGTGCTTATTCTACTGAGCCATCTCCCTGGCCCCTACTTTATTCATTTCTAACTGTCTGTAACTATGTAACATTGCCAATCTCAAAGGTCATCGATGGCAACAGAACCTTGTGGATCAGAGTAAGATATTCTAATGTTAGGCATGGGCCTGAGGGGTCTTGTCCTGTCTGAAACACCAGAAGACAGGTTGCTGTGACGTTTATTAAAAATACCAGTTGTTCAAGAAAACTGTCTAAAATTTCTTTTTCTTTTTTTTTTTTGCAGAACCAGAGATCCCCAGCCCCTAAAATTTCCTGAGTTAATGATTTTGCTGGCTGCTAATTTAACACCGATTTGTGCTTGTTCTTACTGATCTGTGCTACTGATCCTTTTACTATCTATACAAAAGATGATATTTGTGTTAACAAAACCCTATTCACTTTAAGTCAACAGTACTTATGAAATATACTCAGAGTTCTACAAGAAAGTTACAGGAGTTACACATTCCACAATTCAAAAAAGACAATCACCAGACTTACCAGAAACTTCTGAACACATGAGACTAGTGATGTAACTTGGGGCCAACAGAGAACAAAGGCAAGATAGTGAAAAAAACCTTTCTAAATTATTGAGATTTACACACATTCTAAACACAGAACTAAAGTTAATCTAGACATAAGAGTATTACAATTTTTATTTACTCAATCTTGACTAGTTCTAAAAAGGTTAGACATCACATACAAAAGGTTTATGTAAAATAAAGTCAATTAAAATAGAAATGGAACAGCCAGGGATATAGCTCAGTGGCATAAGTGCAAGGTCCTGAGTATGACATGGACATGCCTGGTATGACAAAAAAAAAAAAAAAGCATGTAAAAGGATATGAGAACAAAAAAACAGGGCAAGTGAGGGGCTGGTGAGAGGGCTCAGTGGTCTAAAGCACCTACTTAGAACAAGCTTAGCAAAGCACAGGGACCGCGGTTCGATCCCCCAGCACCACATGCCAGCCAGCCCGCCCGCCCCCTGGTGGTCTAAAGCACCTGCTTAGGCAAGCTTAGGCAGGCCAACAGGACCATGGTTTGATCCCCCGGCACCATATGCTGTGCCACTCTACCCTCAGGGTAGAAAAAAGAAAAACAAGGTCCCGAGTATGACAAGGTCCTGAGCCAGCCAAAAAAAGAAAACAAACAAAACAGAAGGATATACCATAGATTAATATAAATGCTTTGCACTATGTTTGCCAGTGATGAGGAGGCTGGTAGTGCTTGGAGGCCATGTGGGGAGCAGGAACCAGGCATTTTAGTCTCTCCCAGCCAGGTTAAGAAACAATGACTGAAAGCTTCCCACACTTTGCAAAAAGACAAACCTACAAATTCACAAAGCTGAGGGAAAACCAAATAGCCTAAATCCAAATGGTCTAATGAAATCCAAATCAAAATGCATTGAAGTTTTTCCAAAGAAAAACTTCAGAGTAAGTGAATGAAAACATCATAGAAAAACAATTGGGGTGGCAGCAGACTTCTCACCAGAAACTGGAGAGGCCAGAGGGAAGTGTTGTAAAATTTTTAAGTGCTAAGAATGGTAATAGAAATTTTTTATTAGTGAAAAATACCCCATTGGAGTGATTGGGAAATTGAGACATTTTCAAGTGAAGGAAAACTAGAAAGAATTTGGTGCCCAAAGATCTACCTAAAATAATGGTTAATATTTTAAAACAGAAAATATAAATGAAATTGTGAGATTTTAAGGAGAAAAAAAAATCTAGTTCTGGAAGTAATGTAATATAATACAGCCTCTCTGTCAAACAGTTGAAGTTATTCCTAACACATACACACGCACAACTACCATGTGACCCAACAACTGCATTCGTAGGCATTTTTCCTAAAAACTGAAAACTTACAGGGCTGGCGAGATGGCTCAGTGAACACCTGCTTAGGCAAGTGCAGGGACTGGGGTTCAATCCCCAGCCCCACAGGCCATGCCTGCCCTGCTTCTGGGTGTGCTGACTGGGCCACAGAGTCTGGGTATGGTGGTGCACGCCTCTAATCCCAGCACTGGGGAGACTGAAATAGGAGGATCACTATGAGCCCAAGCTGTGTGGTGAGACCCTGTACCAAATACATAAAAAAAAACCTCCCGCCCCCCCAAAAACCCCAAAACAAAAAAATTTATGTTTACAAAAAGCTGTGCTTGCAGAAACTTTATTCATAATGGTACAAAACTGGAAAGCAAACATTCTTTGTACAGATATGGCTAAGCCAGCTGCTATATATATTCCAGTAATAAAAAGAGTAAACTACGAATACACAAATAGCCTAGAGAACTACAATTGGTGGTATTGTGAAAAGGCTACATACTGCATGATTCCATTTATGTAACATTCTTGAATTACTACCAGGCTTATGGAGATGGAAGACATATTAGTGGCTGCCAGTGGTTATGAGAGGTAGGAGCAGGAGGGAAATGAGCGTTGCTACAAAAATGCAACATGAGGGCCTTTTGTAATGGAAATGTCCTATGTGGTAACTGCTTCAATATCTATATCCCGGATATAATATTGTATGCTAGTTTTCTAAGATGTTACCATTGTGGAAAATAGGTGAAGGGCATGAAATCTCTATTACAACTGCACATAAATATATAATAACTCCAAAACAGAAAGTCTAAGGAATGAGAAAAACGAAGTCATCCAACATTCTAATCCATTCCCCCAAAAGAAGGTGTAGCAAGAGCTCCATATTATAAGTATTTTGGATTTTCACTCAGCACTCTGAAAACACCTAGTAACTGCTAAGGTAGTGCATTTGGAACTAAACATTGAATGAATCCAATGTCTTGGGTAAGGAGATAGCTCGGTGATCCAAGAGCCTTCCTGGTAAGCACAAAGACCCAGGTTCAATCCCCTGCAGGTTCCTTGGTGTGCTATGCTGGCCACTGAAACTGCGTGTGGTGGCACATGCCTATAATCCTAGCACTCAGGAGGCTGAGACAGGAGTATCACTTAACAGTTTGAGGTACTCTGAGTTGTGTAGTGAGACCCTCTACCAAATAAAAAAGATTTAAAAAAGAAAATTGGAAACCATTGTTTTGTTGGAACCTCACAAACACAAAGGCAAGCTGGGCATAGCCTATAATCTTAGGACTCATAGGCTAAAGTAGGAGGATCTCAAATTTAGAACAACCAGAGCTCCATTCTAAGCCCTTAACAAAACAAAACACAAAACAAAACCAAAACACAAAAGCAAGCATGTACTAAGGGACTTGGTTTGCCAGCAGGCTTCTATCTGAAAGGTAAGAGGTTGTTCACTAGACCTGGGCATTTTCGCTGGTGAACTAGTACAGTTACTCTCTGCAACATACCCGATTTCCCTACTTAAAACCTTTGGAACTTAGATAATGACTAACTGTAATGCCCAAATCTGGTTCCCTTGCTCTTATTCTTACCCTAGCTCTCTTTCAGTAAAAATTCATAACATGACTTTAAAAAAAAAAATTTTTTTTTTTTTTTTCATAACATGACTTTTTGAGTCAGAGCTAAAGAGGCAGAAAGCATGAAATCTTTGGGTGCTCTGTAAATCTCGACTGGGGCTCTCCCCTATTTGAATCCTCTCTTTCCTTGTACTATACAAACCACGGAGACAAATGAGAGTAGTTACTGGGAAGACAGCGGAAGACACGCGTCTGCCCCAGCAGTACTGGTATGAATTTCCTTACTTAAAGTTATTTTCTTGGTATTACATTCCTTAAACAGTTTCCTCCTTTAAAAATCCTATCTACTGAGAACCTGAAAAATAAAAGATAAATAGTTCTATCAGTTAAAGGCCACTGTGTAAATTTTTCTCTGGATTCATTTGAATATTTATTCAGGTATTTCCAAGATCTATACTTGAATTTAGTAGTCAGCACTTTATTTTCTTTGATTTTTAAGACAGGGTCTTGCTGTTCAGGTTGGTCTTGAACTTGCTATGTAGCCCACTCACGCTGGCCTGGAATTTATGGCAATCCTCCTGCCTCAGCCTAAGTGCTACAATCATCAATGGGGTATGCCATCATGCCTGACTCTAGCAGTTTTCTTTAATCTGCCTAACTCCCCAGTTATTTGCTATATTTGCCAACATTAAGATTATGATATACGGGGCTGGAGAGATGGCTCAGTGGTCTAAAGCACCTACTTGGAACAAGCTTGGCAAAGCACAGGGACCGCGGTTCGATCCCCCAGCACCACATGCCAGCCAGCCACGCCCCCTGGTGGGCTGAGCTGGACACACACACACACACACACACACACACTAAATAAATGTTAAAAAAAAAGATTATGATATACATAATTATAAAATGGAAGATATTGGAGATGACTGAGCAATATTCAGATTTGATAGTTTTCAGGTCTTCTAAATCTTTCATCATTCACTTTGCAGTTATTTGTTTTTGAGACAGGGTCTCGCCATGTAGGCCATGCTGGCCTCAAACTTAGGTGATCCTCCTGCCTCAGCCTTCCAAGTGTGTGCCATCAGGCCCAGCATTTAGCAGTCATTTAACCAAAGGCTAGGCCAAGTCCAAAAGCACACAAAACACCTGATGGCGAGAGCAGACAGCAGCAGTGGGGTGGTCCTTTCATTTGATCCTAGTATGCAGACATTACAGCAAAGGTGCTATTACAGAAGCAAACATCCAGTCAGGGGCTACTTCTGGTGAAATTCCTGAAGTCTGGAGAAGAGATAAGAGAATTCTAGAACCCTGGCTCAGGTCTTGAGAAAAATGACTGTAGTGCTAAGCTATTTTTGTGCCAAACAATACACAGAATGTGACAGAAGTGAAGCGTAGAGGGGGATTATATCAGCCATGAAGCACAAACCTTTTCTGATGCATGAGTTTCCTCAGTTCCTAAGAAGCAGCTCTCCAACTTCTGCTCAGTGTTTCCAGTGAGGCCTGATTTCTCACCTGAAAAAGGAGTGTGTTAAAAGCATGACTTTATGCCTTCAAGCTTTTTTTTGATGAAATCTAAACCTCTATTGGAATGAATGAATATATATATATTTTAGGCTGGCCTTAAACTCACAGCAATCCTCCTGCCTCAACTTCTTGAGTGCTGTGATTACAAGTGTGTGCCACCATGCCTGACCTGGCTAAATTAGCTTATAAAATGCAACTTCTGTTTTACTGTCCAACTGATGACCAGTCAGGTGCTTTCTGCTGAGGTGCTGGGGATAGAGCCTGCACGTTCTCTGCACTGAACTCTACTGCCAGCCCCCATTATCCTTGGTAACAAGATTAACTTCCTTTATGCTAAGGTTACAGTGCTTTTGTGTATGCATTATTTTTGAAAAAATATATAATGCTACACCACTTATGATTCTACTAATTCTGGAAAGGATAGCATGGAAATATTAAGAAACTTCACACAGACAGTAATTGAACAGCTGGGGCTTATGACAGGTATTAGACTTTATTATTTTTTTTTTGTTTTGGTTTTGTTTCAGCAGAACCAGGGATTGAACTCAGGCCCTTGTGCTTGCCAGGAAGCGCTTATTCCACTGAGCCATCTCCCCTGCCAGGTAGTAGACTTTAAAATCTAGTATTTTCCCCATCATAACCGTTGCTTACTGGAAATACTTTACAGAGAAAATATTGGGGCTGGAGAGATAGCTCATTAGAATAAGTGCTTGTCTGGCCAAGTGCAAGGGCATGAGTTCAATCCCCAGTTCCGCAAAAAACAAACAAACAAAAACCCACCAAAACGACCCCCCAAAAACCAAAAAAAAAAAAAAGAGAAAATATTATTGATCAGTTCTCCAGCAAACCCAAAACAATTTTTTTGCTACTTTTTTTCACATTTATTAATTATGTCTTATTGAATACATCTAGTTCTTTCTCTAAATTTTAATTTCCTTCTTAGGAAGAAAACCCCAAACAAAAGAACTAGCAAAGTCTTCTGAAGGGGCGAGGGAGATGGCTCAGTGGAATAAGTGCTTCCCTGGAAAGCACAAGAGACTTGAGTTCAATCCCCGGTTCTGGAAAAAAAAAAAAAAAAAAAGTGTTCTGAAAACTATTTAGGCAAAGATCATTATTCTTATCTGATCATTACTTTTTCTGAATGTAAAAAAAAAAAAATAAAATAAAGCAACAAGAATGTGATGGGGAGATGGCCCTGACTTGTTAAACATTATATACAGATGGGTGCCAACTCTGAAGTCCAATCTACAGTATATGATTCTTTTGCTATCCTTCTACAATTGGTACTGATAATCGGCAGTCTTGTGATTTTTGGCAAAGATCATACATGAACCAATGATAAAATCAATTATACATTGTTAGGGGCAGGATATATTCATGACCTTAAGCATCATTTTAACAGGTTACTAATCACAAAAAGAAAACTATCTTTACATTGAACAGATGGGACAGTCACTACCTTCACTAAGGGTCACACAACAGGTTCCACGGTAGATATTTCATGGTGAGATGGACTCTGATCACCAGGGAATAGGAAAATCCAGTATTGGATACTTTAAAAATCTCATAAAGAAAGAGGATTGAACTAGATTAACAGACTAAAGAGTAATGATAAGAAAACATGTGAGCCGGGTGTGGTGATGTGTGCTTGTAAGCCCAGCACTCAGGAAGATAAGGCAGAAGGATCATTGTGAGTTTGAGACCAGCCTGGGCTAAAAAGTGAGCACAGGGCCAGCCTGAACTGCATAGCAGACAGTTAAAAAAAACAAAACAAAACCAAAACCCCCCAAACAGAAAACAACAACAAACAAAACACGACGTGAACCTGATGATTCTGAAATCAAAATAGAAAGATTAAGAGAGAGAGAGAGAGAGAGAGAGAGAGAGAGAGAGAGAGAGCGCGAGCGCCCACTGGGGAATGAATGGGGTAAATTTGACAATGATATCTTTAGTACACTGATCTTACTGAGGTTGTTCACAGAAAGTCCTTAAGGAGACACATGCTGAAAAAGCTACGATTAAAGTTTTATCTGCAACCTGTGAACAGTACAGCACAATGAAGGATCATCTATGCATGTGTAAGAGAGAATGGAACACAAGGAGAAAAAAAGCAACAGAAATGAAAGAAAAAGAAAAAACTTGAGTCACGTTTGTTGTTTCTCAACTAATTTATTTTACAGGTAAATGTCTAACTCCATCTTTACTGGGTTGCTTAGTATAACAATAAAGGACGATCGCATGACCCTTCAGTGTAGATTATTTACAGAAGGTTTACGAGATTACGTTTAGGGTGTCTGATTCACTGACAACTATTATTGCTAAGCAGAACAAAAAATAAGTTACTTCATTTTGCTTTCATGTTGAAAGGCTGGCCCCAGGCATAAAAAACGAGCCTAGAGGCCTGGAAAGAGGGACAAACTCCTGAGGTTTTTTGCTTCAGCTCTGGTATTAAAGGGAGTGTGAGGCTGAAACAAGGTCGTGGGTCCAAGTCTTGTCAGAGCGCTTGTCCTCAGCCCTCAAAAGATGAAAGGGGAAGGTCGTTTTCTTTTCCCCTTTCAGATCGAAGCTTCATCTGGAGATCGTGGAAGTCACCTCTAAAGATCTCGCGCACTGACATTGTCAGTCCCTCTGGTAATACTTACAGAAATTACGTGAGGTCATTACAACCTAACAGACCAATAACGAAGGTGAAAGTCCGTGACATAAAAAGCTGTCATTATTAACGACACAGATTCACAAGGCCCATCGGCCCACCCCAGTAATTACAAGCTGCGCCAGGCTGGGCCCGCGAGGTCTCTGGACTTCCAGGAGAGCACACGCTGACCTGGGCTGCGAACACCTGGGCTGCGGCTCCTCTCGCCAGCCTCTCCGCGCAAGGCAAAGCTGCGTCCCGGCGCGCGAGCCGATCCCGGCGGGAGTCCGCGCCCGCCCAGCGCGCCCGAGGCCACACGCCGGCGCCGCGTCCGCCCAAGTCACGCGCGGGCCCGCACCGTCACGTCTCTCCCGGGCCGCACCGCACGGCGACCCGGCTCCGCGGCCCATCCCGCCTCCGCGCCGGGTCCCGTCTCGGGGTCCGCGGCCCCCACGCCCGGGACGCGAGGCTGAGGGCCCCGCCGCACACAAGCGCGACCATACTCACCGGTTTGCGCGTCCGCACGCGGCTGGGGGCTGTGGCTGCCGTCCGGAACGCAGGCTGAGGGGCGGGCGAACGCGGTTAAGGCGGGCGCCTCGGCGGGAGGACGGCTGAGAACACGTGGGAGCGGCAATGTATCAAATTGTACTTCAAATCCGTGACGCCGATTCGTTATTAACGCGGGCTGACCTAGGAGGAAAGGCCAGTACTGTACCATCAGTGAATTCTAAAATTCTCTGATAATTAATTTCTATTATCTTGTGCTTAAACAATGCTCTTTATTCCTGACTTCCTCTCCGAAAAAGGCACGAATCTGTCTAGATTGTTTGGAAGCCTACTTTACTTAATCCCGCGCCCCTAACGGTCTTCGGTAGTCACAGTTTAATTATTCCCTAAGAAACACAGGATTATTACAGTCATAATGGAGCTATGCAGTTCTCGATGGCTGCTTCGAATTTTTACCAACGTTACATTATTGTAGGGAGACGTGCTGTCTTTTTTATTTTTTTCCCTGCCTTTTAAGTAATAAATTCACCTCAGTTTGAAACTCCTTGCTTCGAGCGTTTGTTTCCACACGGAGAAGAATGGAAGAGCGCCGCAGAGGGCTTGCATTTTGGTTGGCGGTTTCGGCTGCCTTTTCTGGCACGCATGCGCGTTGTGCCTCAGGGGGGCGGGCTTAAGGAAGCGAGAGTTTGGCACGCATGCGCGTTGTGCCTCAGGGGGCGGGCTTAAGGAAGCGAGAGTTTGGCACGCATGCGCGTTGTGCCTCAGGGGGCGGGCTTAAGGAAGCGAGAGTTTGGCACGCATGCGCGTTGTGCCTCAGGGGGCGGGCTTAAGGAAAGTGGGTGTTAGCTGTGGGCTGCTGAAGCTATAGTCTGGCGAGAGCAGGGGCAGCACGGCTGCTGGACCCTCTGGAGAGGACTAGGGTGTGGATGTCCGAGGGTTGCCTCAGGCCGCGTGTAAGACTCTGTGGATGAAGAAAACTATTTTGAGAGACGTTTTAAAAAGAGCATTTCGATTTTACCCGCTTGGCTACGTCTAACCTTGAGCCCGCCTCCGCGTCTGCGGTGTCGCGCCGCCAGCCCCCAGCTGCGGGCGCGCGTTGCTGTTGTCGCTCCAGCGGCCGTTGTGTCGCCGTCCTTTCAGATTTAGGTACGACAGAGTCCTTTGGCTAAATGACAGTATATAACGTCGACGTCTTTAGCCCTGGGTTAAACGCCAAAGTTCAGCGTGCCGCTGTGTGAATGTCCTGTGGGTTTTCTTTATGTTTCATGATCATTTTTGGGGTTCCCTTATTCTTGGTCGTGTTCTTCCCCCTCCTGCTGCTCCTGCTACCTCAGCCCTCGGGGAGATGAGCGTTTTGTCCTGAAGTCTTGGGGGCCCCGAAGAAAGTTCTTCCATTCAGAACTGTGGGGCTGTCTGGTAGGAGATGAAAGGCTCCGAAGTTAGCCCGGAAGAGACAAAAAGGCTTAGAATGCCAGCGCGGAGGCTTCGTGAGGTCGTTTCTCCAAATCAGAAGACCCCTTTGGCTCTGCCGAAAGACGAGCTACCCAGTCTTCCTGCAGCGCTGCCTGCAAATAAACGTCTTCCCGTTCGAATGGGGACGAGCGGCGGTGGACCTTTACCTGGTATGTGGTTCCGTGCCCCGCGGCTTCCAGCCAGCTCTTACTTTTGTAAATCGTTGGTCCTTATTTTCCTTTCAAGTTAGAGGAAGCTTGATGTTTAAATTCCCAAATAAATGTAAGACGTGAGTCCGGCTTGTGCAAATGTTTGAAACTGTTCCCAGGGAACTGGCCCTGCATGTTTGAGTGGATTGAGTGAGTGAAACTTGGATTTTTCTTCTGTGCTTTCTCCGTGTTTTTTTTTTTTTTTTTTGCACATTGTGCTTGTTCACGCCAATGACGGCACACTTGTGTGAAGTGGTTAATTTTCTGGCGGTTGTGATTTTTACCAAGTGCTCTGCAGTTTTCGATAGGGCTGTCCTTTCTGAATAGCTGAACAACATGATTGACGTCGTTTGGTGGAGTTTGCGTTCCGGTGCACCTACCCCGCTGGAGCGCAATGAAAATGAAGATAACATACCTATTATCCGCTTGAAGTTGTATTGGCTATTGTGAGGGTCCAGTTAACAAATATATGTGCAAAAACAACAGAATGCTTTTGTTTGGTCCTCTGGAGGTACAGCAGTGACACTAATATGCCTGTTAAATTAGATGTGTTTATATCATGTACATATAGTTTTGTTTATAAACTCCGAAGTTTGTCCATATCAATAGTGAGCTGACTGAATACAGTTATTTTGTTTTGTTGTTTTTGAGGTAGTGCAGGCTGACTTTGAACATACTATGTAGCATAGGCTGGCCTGGAACCCCCAATGATCCGCCTGATTATGACCACTTACCCCTTGTAAACTGGTGTATTTTAGAACATTGTATGCTTCTTTGATTGCCCATACTGACCCTTATTTTTTGAAAATATCAACTGCAAAAACTTTAGTAGGATATATTTAAGTACATTTTCTTAATTTATTTGCACGTAAAGTTTTTTCTTTAGAAAAAACTTTTCTATTGGGTTTCAAATTAATGAAAGTGTGTCATTCTTGAACCACTTTCATACAGTAAGGTTCTGATTTAAAAAAAAACGCTCATTGATTTCTTTGCTTTGCTAGGTTCATCAGACATACTTTCTGCTAGAAATTATCACCAGACCACTGCATCAGAAAGTGTAAGCAAAAGATTTCTCAATGTGTTAATTGTGTTAAAACTGTCAGTATTGAGTGTATTCTTAAATTATATTTGATTAGCATGTGTCTTGTTTTCATTTAGTTATCAAATACAAAATGTTTTATATGGTATGATTATGATTTGAATAGTGTTTGAGACGTTAAACGTAGCTACTGTATTATGAGTCCTATTGATTGGTTTTTAGAAAGTTAATAGCTATCATCATCAGATAACCTTCAACAATTTTATTTTAGGATGTTTTCCTTTTCCTTTTCTAATTCAGCAAAAAAAAGAAAAGGCAAAGAGCACCATCCAATGTATCTAATACAGGTCACAGTGTTTGAGTGCCAAATAATGGCTTGGAGATAAAGTCTGGTCTAGAATTGCAGAAGCTGTTTAGTGGTTGGTGTTCTTTGTTTGATTTATTTATTTATTTATTTATTTATGTCTCTTTGAGACAAGGTCTCACTGTGTGGTTCAGGCTGGCCTTAAGCTCACTTTATAGTCCAGCCTGGTCTCAAACTTGAAAAAATCTTCCCGCCTCAGCCTCCTGATTGCTGGGATTACAGGTGTGCACCACCATGCCCAGCCTTGGTATCCTTTCTATAGAGGGCTTTCTCAGAACACCTCTGTGCTTAGTGGGTTTTTTTTTTTTTTTTTCTTTCGTCCCTGGGTAGGTGCCAATGTGCTTAGTGATTGAGAGTGCTGTGATTCATTTTTGACGTTGAACCAGCCTTTATCCACTCTGTTCGATGCACGAAGAAATGGGTTTTCACACGTGATGGAAGCAGCTGACGTGCTAAGTGATTTGAGTTTGAATCACAATGCCACCTTGGCTTACTGTTCATTTACTCATTTACCTGTAAACTCATTTACCAGCGACCCTCACTGACCACACCCTCGAGTAACTTCGAGGTACCGACGTGTGGTGTAGTGCTGAGGATGAAATAGGTGAAATGTGTAGGCCTGCCCTGCTGGAGCATGGTGTCACGTGGCCGGGAAACGGTATTTTTTAAAAAATCATCAGCTCTTGTTTAATAATGATCTATCATTTGACACTTCTTGCCGTAACAGTTTTAAAAACCACTCAAAACTATAGTAACTATTAAAAGTTTCATTCTATTTTGAGGTTTGCTCATCTGTTCTGTAATTATATAGTTCTGCCATTTATTTTTTAAAGTATAATATTCAATTTACTATGTCTTTCTCAAGAGAGTTTTCTTCAGTCCATTAAGACCCAGCTCCCCTTACGTGGGCTTTGGTGGAGGTCGTGGGGCAGCACCAGCGGGTTTAAATCGGGGTGGAGGAGTTCAGTCCTTGCGGGCTTCACGAGATCGATTTCTGACCACTTTGCTGTGAATGGCACAACTCACACAGTAATACAGCTTCACATACAGCTTGGGAAACACCTAACCGTCACAGACACTCGCTTCGGAAATGTCCCCAACGGCAGCGGCCTCCACTATGTTCCAGATGACAAACTTCTTAATGGCCTTATCCTTGGGTATGCGCTGGGTGCCATTCGTGCAGTAAATAGGTTACACATGACCACAACCCTTTTTTTTTGGGCACAACTGTTGTTCCTTCTTTTTTTTCATCATTTTGAAAAGGAGGACCCAATAGAGCTGTTCTGCCATTTAAAATATACTACCGAAATTAGCTTTTATATTCCAGAAATTATTTGAGTAGTAACTAGGTGTATTTTCTGTGGGGTTATTTCTGAGAATGTTATTTTTCAGAATATATATGTATATTTATAATCTTGTGAGTGTAGTGTTTTATTGGTATCTCACATATACAATTATAAATTTTTTTTTTTTTTGCTTTTTGGGTCTTTTTGAGACAGGGTTTCGTTAATGTAGTTCATACCGGCTTTGAGCTCACTTTTTAGTCTGGGCTGGCCTAGAACTCCCAATGATCCTTCTGCCTTAGCCTCCCAAGTGTTGGAATTAGAGCTGTGTACAACCATCCCGGCCCCTTTTGGTGTTGTGAGACAGGATCTTGCTGTATAGTTCTGACTGGCCTTGAACTCACTGTGTAGCCCACGCTGGCCTTGAACTCACAGCAATCCTTCTGTCTCAGCCTCGTGAATGCTGGGTTTATAGGTATGTGCCACAATGTGCAGCAAAAAGTTTGTATAATCTTCCAAATTTGAAAAGTATGTGCTAATATAAAAGACAACATTTTAAGGAATTGGTCCTAGTCTATCATTGTGTTATTCCAACTGTCTTGTCTGCTGCCCACCTGCCTGCTGCTCTCCATTTGCAGAAGGCGTAGGGCTGAAAGTCAGTTTTACCAAAGAGGCGCCCAAACCAGGATGCCTGCAGTGTCCGTCTTTCTAAAGTAAATTCTTCTAAAAATTAAAAAGCAGAATTTGAATGACTGTTGTAGGGTGCCTCAATTCTTTTGGCCACTCCTGTTTTTATGGTAGATTAGAAACGATGCCATCTTTGGGAAAAGAAAAAGCAGCACCAACTTTGCGAATGGTTCTGCCTCACTCCAGTGGTGTGGGCCCCGAGCTGCAGCGCCGTGCATGGTGTCGTCACTGTGTAAATGCTGATACTCAGGGAGTGCAGTACAGATACGCTGCAGAGGCTGTGATACATTTTAGGTATTCCTTAAACTGTCTTTAAAAAAATAATGGGCTGGTGAGACGGCTCAGTAGTCTAAAGCACCTACTTAGAACAAGTGTAGCAAAGCACAGGGACCGCGGTTCAATCCCCCAGCACCACATGCCAGCCAGCCCCGCCCCCTGGTGGGCTGAGCTGGCCACACACACACACACACACATAAATAAATAAAATTAAAAAGTAATGTCTTTTCATTCTTTCGTTCTTTTTATTTTTTTTGGTGGAACCGGGGATTGAACTGAGACCCTTGCGCTTGCCAGGAAAGCACTTATTCCACTGAGCCATCTCCCCAGCCCCTTCATTCTTTCTTAGTTACTTTTTTGTTGCTGAGAAATAATATCCAGTACCCTAAGTTAAAGGAGGGAAGGTTTATTTGGCTCACAGTTTATGGGGGTTTCAATCCTCGGCTGGCTGGCTCCAAGGCATGGTGGCTGGCAGACATGCAGCACAGGGGCAAAAGAGTTCATGGCAGGAGGTGGCAAAGCAGAGGTAGCCGCAGCAGCAAGAATGGCAGCAGCCCTCTTTCATATATTCTTTCCAGGCTCCGTGCCCTTTGGGTGGGTAGCACTCATACGCAGGGTGGACCTTCCTATTATGTACACCCAAAATCAATGTACTAGTTTGCTAGTCACACGTCCTTAACCCCAGTATCACACACTAGGTCCAGCCACCTCTGAAATGCCCCTACCCTATAAACCTTGGGAAGACATGTAGACACAAGCCATAACACAAAATGAAAACAAAACAACAAAATAGCCAATCTTAAAAACACTTAATGAGTCTGGGGTGTAGTTCAATGGCATAGCACTTGCCTGGCAAGCTCAAGGTCCTGAGTTCATTTCCCCGGTAACTAAAACAAAAATCAAAAATCTGCTTAATAATATAAAAACTGGAGTGTGGTTGAGTGCATGTCAAGGTGGTGGGGCGATGAAATGTGCAGACTGGTATTGTACACTGAGTGTTAACTCTGCAGTGTTCGGGTGACAGAAGGACTCTCCATTTTCTTATGTGCTGGGAAGTAACAGCAGCGCTGCCTGGGAGAAGGTGACGGTGTTGTAACTGCTTTTGGAGGAAGTCCTGGAATTCTATTGATACTACAATCTGGGTTATATCATATTTACAATTTGGATGAACAAATGGACCTTTTTCGGCAATTTACGGTGGGAGGAGGCTTGTCATGTGAACACGGTGGTGTGCACTCGTCTCCATTTGCACAGGCAGGCCGCCGCTCCTTATGTGCTTCGGAAGCTTCTCTGGTTTTTGTGACACAGTCAGTTCAAGAACCTCCGCTAGACTGATCAGCAGCATTGCTGGAGTTACTGGTGTTACTGGCTCAGACTGCAGTCAGGAGAGCAACCGCCTCTGTTGAGCGCTTTTGATTTTTTTCTGTATTGTTTCCTCTTCCTTAACAGGCTTACTAACTTGGGGGGTCCTGCTTTGCCCCTAGAAATCTTGTGGAAATTCTGCTAGCAATTCTTGTGGAAATGTTTGAATTTTGGAACAGCTGGAAGTGCCTGCTTCTGTAGGACTGAAGAACAATTAGTTGTGTTATGGATTCCTGAGTTTCGGTGTGGCCTTCAACACTGGATTTCTCTTAGCTTGCTGAGAAGGTGGGAGAGAAGGCCTCCTTTCAGGCTTTCTCAGCCCCAGCGGGCTGCTGGACGTGCTTCTGTCTGGGAGCCATAGTCATCATCTTCATCCTCCTTGTCCCCATCATGGTTGAATTTTTCTACTTTAACAACCGAAGTTACCAAGGCCACTTTCTTTTCAAACTTTTTATGCAGTACTTTTGTTTTCTGAGTTGTTTCTGAAGAGTCTCTTCTAAGCGGTTAAGCACCTCTGGTTCACCTGGATTCTCTTTCCTGCCTCAGAACCCAGCTGTTGTGTATATCTAGTTGCTTGGCAGCAAGAACACTATTTTGTTACTAAAATTGCATCCTATTTAAACAGTCCCACTATCTTCATTTTGACTTGCAGGTGGTCCATAAATATCAATAGAGGGCATAAAGAACTATATGTGTCATTGTAGGTATTCCCTGAGATAAGGGATTGTCTTGTGCAAAGTTCAGTGAGATTATATGGTTTCTGGCTGAATACCTCAGTCCTCAGAGGTGCTGGCTCCCTCAGAGGTTTCACTGTTGCTCCTAGGGGGTGTAGCTCTATGACCAGATGCTGAGTCTGACAACTGACATTACTGCTTTTCTGTTTCTTGTTAACCTGTAGAAACTGGAGCCTTTCTTTTCAGTTCTAGTGGTAGAAAAACAAGGAGAAGCACTGTTCTCTCATGCCTTCACTCATCTCTCCGACTGAAACTACTCTTGTGTAAAGGCGCATTATCATCAGGGATGGTAGTATCAAGACATCAGATTGGGTTCTTCATCAGCAGAAGCTCCCAAGGACTTGGATTTTGGTCCTGTCTTCATGGCTGTGATGTAGGCAATCGGCTCTGTACTGCACACAACATTTTGCTTCTAGTAAATGGTGTCATGTATGTACGTATGTAGGTTTGTATTTGGTACAGGGTCTCACTGTGCATCTTGGACTCACGCAGCGATCGTCCCGTTTTTAGCCTCCCCAGTGCTGGGATTACAGGTGTGAGCCACCACGCCAGGACTTGGTCGCCAGCTCAGCGTGCCCCAGCGGTGGGGCCAGTGCAGTGTGAGGGATGGGGATTGGTGTTTGTTAAGTGATAAACTTAAAGCTTATTTGGTCTCTCACTTTTTCTTTCCTATCCTCAAGGATCTTCCTAAAGATGCTGCAGTGCAGGAGTTACCTTTGAATAAAGCAGAAGATGGTAGCAGAAAAGAAGGTAAAAGAGAATTGATTTCTTTTCTTTTCTTTTTTTGCGGAACCGGGGATTGAACTCAGGCCCTTGTGCTTGCCAGGCAAGTGCTTATTCTACTGAGCTATCTCCCTGGCTGCCGAGAATTGATTTCTTGACATTCCAGTAAAATATACATCATATTTTTTGTTCTACTCCCTTAAAAATAACAGTTCTATGACTACATTCACCATGTTGTGATGTCATCTCTGTCCATCCCCCAAACTTCATCTGCCCCAGTTAGGCCCTCACCCGTTCTCGTTCTGAGTTTGTCCGTAAGTGAAATCACATAGTATAAATATTTCACCATTTATGTCTGGTTTATTCCCTTAAAATCTCTTCAGCATTGATCCATGTTGTAGTATGTGTCAGGATTATCTTTGTATAGGCAGAATTGAGTTTTAGATATCCATTCAGTAGTCTACAGTTTTATTATTTTTATTTTATTTCTAGTTCTGGGGATCAGTCCTGGGGCCTCATGCATGCTAGGTAAGAGCTGTACCATAGAGCTACATGTTAAGCTCCTATTATTATTATAATTATTATTTTTTGTTACCAGGAATTGAACTCAGGACCTTGCACTTGCCAGGCAGGCACTTGTGCTACTAAGATATATCCCCAGTCCAGCTCCTATTATTTTAATTTTTAATTGGTTTTTATTCCCAAATAGTTACTAATGGATTCCCTAAGGTCCTAAAAGAAGTTTGTAGTAAGAAAAGTTATTTTATTATTTCCAACCTATTGCATAGATTTAGTGTTGCATATCTGTTTGTAAATTCTGATTTCAAGTTTTAATCTTTCCTAATAGATGAAAATTGTTCTTTGAAAAATTTTATTTATTGAAAAATTTTAAGGTAATCTATTTTTCTGTGTTCCTAACAGTTTTCTTTAGAATTTGAAGAAATTCTCCAGTTTGGTCTCAGGTTTTTTTGGTTATAATTTTTTTTTTAGTGGCCAAATAATGATTTTTTTTTTTTTTCCTGCACACATTTTTCTTTTTAATTGCAGGGTTTTGTTACCTTTGGAGTAGTTTTAGATGCAAAGCAAAATCAAGCAGAGGGCAGTTTGCTCAGCCCC